GCAACACAATACATATCCCTATTTCACTTGCATTACACGTAACACCAAAATATCTCCATTTCACTTGCATTACATATACCATCAAAAATATCCTCATTTCACTGAAATTACATAGTTTTACTAATACATATTCCCATTTTACTCAAATTACATAGTATTACTAATACATATTACCATTTTACTCAAATTACATGTAACACCAATACATATTCCCATTTTACTCAAATTACATGTAACACCAATACATATTCCCATTTTACTCAAAATACATAGTATTACTAATACATATTACCATTTTACTCAAATTACATGTAACACCAATACATATTCCCATTTTACTCCAATTACATGTAACACCAATACATATTCCCATTTTACTCCAATTACATGTAACACCAATACATATTCCCATTTTAATCAAATTACATGTAACACCAATACATATTCCCATTTTACTCAAATTACATGTAACACCAATACATATTCCCATTTTACTCAAATTACGTACATGTAACACCAATACATATTCCCATTTTAATCAAATTACATGTAACACCAATACATATTCCAATTTTAATCAAATTACATGTAACACCAATACATATTCCCATTTTACTCAAATTACATGTAACACAGATACATAACTATTTCACTTGCATTACACGTAACACCAAAAAATATCACCATTCTACTCAAATTTCATTGTATTACAATAATTATCCCTATTTCACTCACATTACATATGAAAATGACTTTGCCCTGAATTCTCCTCTTGTATTTAACTATGTTTAGACATGTAATTTAATACAACATATGATACTTACATTAAGAAATACTCCAATAGGGTGCCTACCACAGATGGTATTCCCATACATTTTGAGATACTTTGAAAATCCAGATGGATCTAAGTTTTCAATATGATTCATTCCCTGAAAAACAGAAATTAATTGGAAATTGCAATTTGATAGTATGGAAGTTCTCTAAAACAACTATATTAGCCAAATGCAGATCCACCCAGACCAATCTTGAGGCAAGTTCACCTAGATCAAGCTTTTCAAAAGCAACAAGACATGAAATGTCACAGTCCCCGTTATTTGATTATAAAGTTGTACAAGGAACATCTGCAAACAGGTGAATGAATATGTACTCTTTGTGGTTACAACTCATCATAAAGTGATTTCCAATGATCTAGTTTTGTATTGACAACTAAAAACTTCCACTGACCCATGTTCAGAATCTCAGAGTACACAAGTGCAACAAAACTATTTGTCATACATGTATACTTGCTCAAGAAACTGCATTCATAAATCTGAGTGAACCTTGATGTACCGGTACATGACTTCTTTGTTAATCAGGTCTTAGTATATTACCAAGACCTGGGTTTGTTTCAACATCACCACTGGGCATCAGAATCATTCTCATGTTGTCAAATACAATTTGTTATTAACACAGTAAGGTTTATTATTTAAAATGTATTCATTGTACATAGAACAACATCAGAGCAAGTACATGTAATAATTAAGAAAGCCAGTTGCGATAAAGGTTGGTCTTGCTCATTCCCTTCAATGGAGAAGAAACAAATAATTGTTTGAAGTCTTTTTAGTGCAGTGATATTATTGCATTTCAATCATTTTTAATGGGTATAAAATACTGTAAACCATTTAATTTTCACTTCTAGATATATTCAGGATTTTGTGAAATTTGTGTACAATATTTCAATAAAGTCCCTGACACTCCATGTTGTAGGAACCCAGAAAAAATTGCCTCGCGAAATTGAAGCAGTTCACAGCATCACTGAAAAAAAAAAAAAAAAAAAAAAAATAGGTTAAAATGAGTATAGTCAAAGACATACACATGTGGGTTCATAAGACATATGTCCCAATCTGAGTGGTTCTAGGGATTAGTATCACCAGATTTTACTCTCCGTGATTCAATATCAGTCCTATGTATAACGCTGTGTTGATCAGGCGAACTAA